AATTGAATAAAAATTAAAAGCAACATATCAAAATTTGTGGGCTTCATTTGAATCAGTATTTAGAGAATAATGTCAAAGACAAAATGTTCATATTAGAAAAGAATAAAGTCTCAAATTATCTAAATTTTCACCTAAAGCAACTAAAGAGTAAATTAACAAAAAGTACGTACGAGAAAGAGAATAATAAGAGCAGAAAGTAATGAAGCAGCTGGCAATTGGCTAGGTCTCTTTCTTTGTACATATACTCCCAGGTTTTGTTCATATGGTCTCTCCTCCTGACCTAATCTAAGCTTCCTCACGCTGGGGGGGCCTCAGAATAGCTGGACTTTTTACCTTCTCTTATGACTGAGCCTCAGGTCACAAAGGGTTACCATTTATTATTTATAATCAAGTAATTAGCTGGTCAGATTCCAGGGGAAGAAGATGTGATGCCATTTATTAATGAGATAGCATCAAGGTTCTAGAAAAGGATGTGTCAAAGGAGCCATTTTGGACATCTTTGAACAATGCACTCTGTGCTATACATAGGAGTTAACATACAACATACATTTTCTCTAACTGGAAACTCTACCTTTCGTATTTGTTGTGGGGTAAATGTTCTGATGGCAAATTACCTCAATTTCCAGCCATTTGAAAATATCTTTATTTTACTATTTTTTAAAGAATAATTATCATATACAGCAAAGAATTAAAATTTTCAAAATTAAAAAAATAATATGGAGTTTTAGATCAACAAGTTTCTTTTATTCTTCAAGCACTTTAAAGATGTCATTTTCCTGCCTTCTTATTTGTAGTGTTTCTGGTAAGAAACTAGCAGTAACATTTACATGCCTTTTCTTTGTTTTTTTTTTTTTTAATCATTGTTTAGCAATTTGACCACAACATGCCTTTATATCACTCTCTGTATTTATCCTGTTAAAAATTTTAAAACTTCATGAATATGTGGTTTAATTACTTTTTGAAAATACTTTCAACTAGGCATGCATTATGTCAATCTTACCTCTCAAACTATTGACTATGTTATATTAGATTTTCTACATTGTCTATCTACAAATTTACAATATTTGTGTCAATCTATTTCCATTGCCTATTTTTAATACTAGTGTAAGTCACATACCCATGTCCATTTCTAATACTGGTATAAGTCACAAATTTTTCTGTATCTTTATATAACAAATTTTAGGGTTTTTGCTGGGAAATTGTAGAAACTATCAGAGTGTGGGCTGCTTTTTCTCCTTGCAAAATCTGTTGAGTTTTATTTGGAAGGCATTTCTTTTCCTAGCAGAATAGTTTATCTTGTCAAGTGTTGCATTAGGCTTTCTTAGGCTGGGAAAAGAATGTTATTGGGTTTAGTATAAAAATACAACTCAAGCAACTTCACAGTAAGAAAACAAATAACTGGATAAAAATTGGACAAAAGACTTGGATATACATTTCTTAAGTCATACAAATAACCAACAGGTACACATACAGAAAAAGACAAAAAATTACTAATTAACAGAGAAATACAAATTAAAATCACAATGAGGTATTATGTCACATCTATTAGAATGGCTACTATCAGAAAAAAAAAAAAAAAAAGACTAGCATGGGAGGTTCCATTGGACCTGCTATTCCCTTCTTGGTATTTCCCAGAATTAAAAGCATCATACCACAGTGGTATATGTGCAATCATGTTTACAGCAACAGTTTGCAATGGCTAAATCTTGGAAACAACCTAAATGCCCATCAACATGTTGTTTTTGTTTTTTGTTTTTTGTCTTTTTCGTTTTTATTGGTACCAGGGATCGAACTCACGACTGCCTGCTTGCAAGGCAGGTGCTTATGCCACTGAGCTAAATCCCCAGCCCCATCAACATATGAATGGATTAAAAAGATAGTGGTTTTTATACAATGGAGTACTACTCAGTCATAAAGGAGGTTAATTTGAGATATTTATAGGTAAATTGATGGACCTGGAGACCATACTCTCAAGTGAAATAAATCAAAGTTGCATGTAAATATCATATTGTCTCCTTGGTGTGAGAAACTGAAAGTGTAAATAAGAATCAAAATGTATAATAGAAATTAATAAAAAGGAAGAAAGTATTCAAAAGGACAGGAGAACTAGGAAAGGTATGGGAAAGGAAGGAAAAAGAAAAAATGAGAAAAGAAGGATAGTAAGGAAACAAAACTTTGTAAATAAAGATGGGAAGAGGGATTGAAAGGAGGGAAGGGCAATGAGAAAAAAAGTAAGCATCACGATGTATCATGTTGGGCTGGGGATTTAGCTCAGTGGTCATGAGTTTGATCCCCAGTACCGATAAAAAAAAAAAGATGTATCATGTTAAGGTACAAATTCTCTATGATGAGTCTGATCATTAAAGATATCTGAATTGTACAATAAATTTAATTTTAAAAAAGGATGAAGGATACAAATTAGAGAAATGTGAATAAAGTGAAACCCTTGAAAATAACTGGAGGAATAACAAGTAGTATACAGTCATCGTGGATGATAGTATGGAAGTTCCTTAAAACATTCAAAATAAAACTACCTTACGGTACAGCAATTTTGTGGAGAGCAGCTGAGGCTTAAGATCAATTACATGTGTGAGACCAGAGCAGATCCAGTCCTGAGAAGGCAAAGCACCCTAAGTGAGCAGGGTGATCCAGCCCTGAGAACACAGGGTGTCTGAGCAACCAAGTAAGCAAATTGTTGCAGCCCCAAGAACACAAGGCTCCTGAGGTGAGCTAGGTAAAAAGTTGTTAGGCAGAGAGGTTTCATCTGACTTCCACCTGCCAAGTGTATAATTAAACATGCTGCAGTTGGTGGGTGGTTCTTTTCTCCCACCAAGAGACAGGGCTCCACCCAGTCTCAGCTTTCTGCCTTTTCACTCTTTGCTTTATTTCTTAATGGCCCTTTCCCTGGAAGTTTCCATGAGCTGTGCTGGATGTGGCATAATTTGACTATTAATATATATCCCAAAAAATGAAAATTTTCAAAGATATATCTGCACACTCATGTTCAACACAGCATTATTCATAAGATACAGAATCAAGTCAGGTTTCCGTCAGCTGACGACTATACGGAGAAAATGTGCATGAATACACAATGGAGTACCATACAACTTTAACAAAAGGAAGTCCTGATTTGGAACAACACGGAAGAAACTGGAGAGGATTATATTAAGAAAAATCATCCAGGCATACATACTATTTATACATACTTTTTATTCTTACTTATGTGTGGATCCAAAAAAGTTAGATTATAAGTAGAGAACAGAATACTGGTTATCAGGGATGGAGACTGAGGAAAGGTACTAGGGAGGTACAGGTCAAAAGACACAAAATTTCCATTAAATAAATAGTTCATGTGATTCATTATACATCATGGTTTTATCAGTTATCAGCTGATAACACTGTATTTTATGAAAACCTGCCAGAAGAAAGAATTTTAATTATTCTCACTAAAAAGAAGACGTGAAATAATACGTTTTATTACACTAATTCAGTCATTCCACAATGTATCTCTATTTCAAAACAACATGTAAATAACTGATAACTGGGGGAGGGGTAGAGTAGCTCACTCTATAACCCAAGGAGTACTGCTAAAGCCTAAACTGAGGCTTTTTAAATGAACCAGATATTCAGCTGGTTAATACACTTTGCTATCTGTCTGTTAATGTCCTGTGACAGAAAGCCAAGGTGAATGTAATGCTAACACAACATGCTTCCTACTGTCCAAAGCACAACAAAAACCTTCCATAAAATTTATCCAGCTTTATAGACATTGAGAACAAAATAGTAACTTTGATACTTTTTACTCTGTGATGGTTGGAACTGGAAAATATTAATACAGTATTCTTTTAAATTAAAAATAGCATAGCTAGTAAAACCTTAATCTTCATCTATCAAATGACAACCTAGTGTGTTAAAGTAAAAATGTAAGACAGGGTTGTTAATATACAATTTTCCATATTTTAATTTTTTCAGAATCAGAAAAAAATTCCCTAAGTCTTATAATTTTCTTGTTCATTTTAATTTCTCACTGATAGATAAATGAACAACACAAAACTTCATTATTTCCTGACCTGAAGAGATAATTCATGCTACGTCTAAAATGTGCCAATAATGATGCTCCTCTTTCATCACGCCAGGTGATCTCCCACGTTTCCTGGGAACTGGAAGTGACTATGTATGAATATTTTGATCAAGACATATACAGAAGTGTGCTATTAATCTCCTGAAAAAAGTTTCTACTGTATTTCTTAATAAAAGGAATTAAGTGAGGCTGGCCTTTATTTTTGTTTTGACTGTGGATCTCTTATGACTGTAATACATCAGGACAAAGGCCATATTCTAAATAGTGCAGAGGAGAAACAGATGAACTTGGTACCATAAGGATGTCACAGGGCAACTAACACACAAAATAATTACCTCTGAAAACTAATTTTTAAAACCATTCTGTGTTTTCTGTTCCCCAGAATTGAAATCATTCCTGACTGGTAAATATCATTTTATTCTTTCAACTTCTTAAGAAGATTCTTCAGGTAAGATGTTGTTAAAAAAAAAAAGAAAGAAAGAAAGAAAAGAAAAACAGAATCCAAAAAGGAAGTGGTTGGGAACTGCATTTCTTTAATATCTTTAATTTTCACTGATAGATGAATGAACTCTTCATTATTATTATTTCCTGACCAAGGTCTAATTATTTGTTCAACCTGAGTAGCTAATTCATGCTACGTCTAAATCAGCTTTTCTATAGTGTCTCCTTTACTTGCCTTCTAGAATACAAACATCCTTGTAGACTGGGATTTTCTCAGTTCAAAACAGGGGCCTAGGGACTTTGGGGTACTCTAAGTAGTTTAAGGATAGGTTTCAATTCTAAATATTCTATAAATTATGTCTGCCATCACAGTGTTCTTTGTCTCTAACAAGAATAAGGACACTATAAATCTAAAACATTTTTCTCATGGAATATGGAAGGCAGACAAACAAGCAAAAAAGATAGTTCATTATCTTACGTTCACATTCTCTGACATCCAGGTTGAACTGCTGTAAAGCTCCTAAGGTGAGCTGCCTTACTTCAGCCTCCAGCAAAAGTTGCATCAAGGATGTGGCTAAATGCTTGCAAGCTGACATACACGCTGTCTGAGCCACCTTTCCCTGAAATATAAGGGTATAAGTCAGAAAGTTAATTGGTTAAAATAAAATCCTAACAAAATTTAAATCACTTATTTTTCAATAGAGAATTTCTCTATCATTCTCCCCAATGCAACACTTTTGCCATATCATGTTAAATATTAGCTCCACACCAGGCATGGTGGCATATGCCTGTAATTCCAGCACTTGGGAAGCTGAGGCAGGAATAGTACTGCAAATTTGAGGCCACCGTGGGCTACAAAGCGAGTTCAAGGCCAGCTTTATCTGCATAGTGAAACTCCCTGTCTCAAGAAGACAAACAAAAACAAAACAAAATAAAAAAATCTCCATCCCCATAAGTCATGGTGGCTATAACACTGCTATAATTCAGAAAGCACAAATATTTTATCAAAAAGCACTTTTTAATTGACAATGATTAAATATTCAAAATCTTAATTTAGATTATTCCTCAGGGAATACATTTGAAAAAACTTTCTTTAAAAACTTTATCCAATCTTCACACACACACCCCCCCCCCCAGTACTGGTCATCAAATCCAGAGATACACACATGCTACACAAGTGTTCTACCACTGATCTACTTCCCTTAGCTTCCTTAAAAATAATTCTTCAAAAAACATATGGAAGGAAGAAGAGAATACTAGGAAAAAGCGGAAACAAAGCTTTGTAAATGAGGAGGGAAGAAGGCTGAAAGAAGGGAGGGAAATCAGAAAAAAAAGAAGAATCAATACTTATCATGTACAGATATGAACTCCCTATAACAAATATAATCAATATGTACACAGAGTTCAGTGCTATGTCACAGGACTAAATGCACATGAGTACAGGTAAAAAGTTTATTTCATATAATTCCCATAAGAATGAGGTATTTAATCCTTGATTTACAGATAAAGATAAAGAGAGGTTAAGTAATTTGAATTTTGTGTTTTAATCACTCTAAATCACAAAGCACTAAATATTAATTTCTAGATTAGAGATTATTTTCATTTACTTAATTTTGCTATATGTTTTTATTAGTACATATTTATTATACATACTGATGTTATACGTCAATTTTATTTATATATTACTTGCCATCTATTCTGAAAGACTGAATAATACATGTTTTTAAAAGTCTGGGTTCTCAAATTAGTGACTTCTTTTTGGAAATTATGAAATACGTTAGCCATACAAAACAGAGTCATATGATTAATATCTACATATTTGTTAAATCTCTGGTGTCCCTTCTCTCCATGGGAAAGTCTGCATCCCTCTACAACCTGCTTCTGGCTCACTAGGTCTCAACTTTTTAAGAACTAAAAAATGATCTAAAGACATCCGTTTCTGTCATTTGTTTAACACTGTTCTTTTCTACTGTGATTATTTTCTTTATCTTCCTTTCCTTTCTCCACTTCTTTTCTAGCTTTCTGTGGACCATTTTGATAGCAGTAATTGTAGTGATTACATAAAGCACTGAGAAAAATCACATCCACAAGCATGCACATCTGAGCCTGCACTGACACTTACATTTGCTTACATATGCTTTGCTGGCATTGCATATCTTTATTTGCAACCATATGAGTGGCCAGCATTTGATCAAGACTTTGGTTGTAAGTCAAACCTAAAATTGCAGTCATAACCCAAGTTGTACATGTGTGAGGCTGGTCATAACTCACGGATCTACTGTAAATGTGCAGCATTCTTAAAAACTTATTTGAAGAAATACAGAAAGCTCAGTATTCGTCACTTTCAATTACTATGTACTTTAGTTACACAGAGTTCAGTGCTATGTTCCAGTACCAAATGTACATGAGTACAAGTAAAAAGCCTATAAAAACTACTGTCTTCATTAATGCCATGACCACCATTTGCAAAGAGGCTGCTTCCCTTTACTGAGCATTGACCATGGGTCAGATGTTTTGAAAAGTTTATCTCATATAATTCTCATAAGAATGCCATGAGGTATTTAATTCTTGATTTACAAATGAAGATAAAGAGAGGTTAAGTAGTTTGAATGTATCTTGTAAGAGATAGAGTCCTGACAGACTGCAAGAAAAGGCACTTATAATAGGTGCTGCATCTTTTGGTTATTCAGTATCTTGGGGTAAAGGAATAAAAAAGACAAAACTTAGTCAAATTTGAAAACTAGAATATCCAGTAAGAAAAAACTTTTTTTCTTTGTCCATTTTAGGGAGCATCAAAAGTATGCTTTAGCTCACTGGGGATAATTAGATTTGTCTCCAACCACAGCTTTTGTCAGCCTGCTGGGAACACAGTCTGTGTTCTAGATCATCAAAGATCTTATCTAAGAGACTCCAAATTGCTAATGTGAAATTTACCCTTCCTGAAAATAAAGAAGCAAATTTCAAAGGAAGAAATATGGAAATAAAGGCAGAAGGTATTCTGTGAAAGAAATCTATGGTTTTACAAGTCGCCATTTTGCTTTCTCAGTAAAATGTCCCTTGGTCACATTTTGAAATATAAAACTTTATCTTTCTCCAGTTATTTGGTTATTTCACCATGAAATAAAAAAAAAAAGTTCAAACAGAAACTGATAGGGCAAGAGAAGTGAGAACTACTCAGAGAAAGCAAAAATCATTCTTTCATCTTTGTGCCCACAGCACTGAAATAACTTCCCATTCTGGCTCTGTCAACTGACCCTTGAGCCTTACCCTCTACCATAGACATTTACTTTATTATGCATCCTTGTCTTTTGCCTGCTCATGGGACTTGATTTTTGGATTGCCTCTGTAAATTATCTTCCTCAATAAATGGGGAAGCTAACTTTTTCCCTTTTCTCAATATCCCATAGCTACTGATAAGGTTGTTTCATCTCCAGAACAATAAAACCTCCTGCTTATGTGGGATGGATGCTTGATGATACTACATTCCAAATTCTGGAATGTATGTATGTTCATGTTACCTGAGACTCATGCCTGGAACTTTGGTTCTCATTTACTGAAGAAATTCCACAGCAAGGTCTTACTCCATTTTCATACTTAGATCATTTTAAAAATAAAAATAAAAATGAAAATAACCTATCCTCTTTAAGTAGATCCTCCCTCATGGGTTCCCACAACTGAATCCATGTGTTGTCTTAGGAAGAATTTTTTTTTTTTAACCAAGAGAAAGAAAACAGAATAGAGTCAATAAGAACAAAACAATAAATGGGATATAGAACCTCAAAATAAGATAAAAGGAAATTAATATTGGCTACCATAATGCCTCTTGTTATCTTCAGAGTAGCTGACTATACCATCAGACATACTAAAATCAAACAAAACAGAATAAAATCAATCAAAACAAAACAATGAAAGCAATACAGGGCTTCAAAACAAGATAACAGGAAACCAATAATGGCTATCATGAGAAATTTTTAATCTTTGAAACAGCTATCCATGCCATCAAATCTCCTGGCCAGTGCTGCTGGCTACAGGTATCAGATGCTGGCCATTGAGTGCGCTAGTAGACGGTGGCTGCTGCTTTTCCCAGTACATGCTGGCTACTGGCAGCACGAAACATCCCTGATGGCAGCTGATGTTCGCAGGGGTAGGGCTGGCCGCTGCCTCTAGGACCTGAGTTGACTACCCCAGAAAGACTTGTAAATAAATTCTCTTAAATATAGATAAATTAAAGACCAAAATAAAAAAGTTGAAAATAGGGAGATCTTTATCACAAAGGAAGGGAGCCAAGAAATAAAGGGAAAGGAAGAGAAGTGGACAATAACCAAACAAAATTAAGAGGTATTATGTCCATGTACCATCTCTCCATGATGAACGTGATCACTATGAGCTGTAAATACTAGCAGTTTTGTTTTCTTTTTAATTTTAGAAGTTTCATTGTATTGCATTCTGGCCTCTGTCATTTTTGTGGGAAGTCATGGATTTTAACATTTTTTTCACATAAATGTGTCTTTTTTCTCCCAAAAGAAAGCTGCTTTTAAGCTTTCTTTTTCTTCATATTTCCTATCAGCAATCTAATCAATAGGTCTCTAAATGCAATCTAGGTTTATCCTTGGGGGCGTGGTAAACTTGCAGAATCTATAATTCGCTTCCTGAAATGTGGAAAAAAAATTTCAAGCATTTTTTAATTAGTATATCTTTACAGTACATAATAATTACACTTATCCTGGGGAATCGGTACACGTATATGCGTAACACCCCTTAATTCTTTTTTCATCCTCTATCCCTCCTGTTCTCTGCTCTCCCACCTGTTGGTCTCCTTTCCACTAACAAAAGCTCTATTTCCATATTTCCCCTTCAATTCTTTCACTCTTCCTACCTCTTTTCCTTCCCCTCCGACCTCCTCCCTCCATCTCTCACTTCCCATTACAGAATATCTCCCTGTTTTCTAATATTGCTTTTGTACCATTATCTTTCCCGCTTCTCCATTCTAGGACATCAAGTACAGACAGACTCTGACAGTCTGCTTAGGATATGGTTCCATTTAGGATTTTTAAACATTGAGATGGTGTGAAATCAATATACATTTGGTAGAAATTATACTTTGAGTTTTGTTCTTTTCTAGGGCAAGTGATATGTGGCATGGTATTCTCTCATGATACTGGGAAGCATCAGCAAGCCACATGTCCCAGGCAGCGATGTGATAATGAGAATAAATAACACTCAATAGTTTCTGTGTTGCTAAGCTATGATAATTGGTAAATTAGGTATGTTAAACACATTTTAATTTACAACATTCAATTCATAACATTAATTATAAGTTTATTGGGATGCAACTCTACTATAAATTGAGCAGCATTTTAAAATGAATTTTAGCCATCTGAACTGTATTCCATTTATCTTTACGCTCCACTTCATTCCTAAGATTTTTTTTTTAATGAATTTTTTGTTCTTCAAAATGTACCCGCTTTAGTTTTGGTGCTTCCTACTTAGACTTGTCTTTGGGTTCACTAATCTTTAATTGTACTTTGTTGAGCCTGTTATTAAACCTATTTAATGTAACTTTTTAAAATTCATGTAATGAGTTTGAAATCACAGATTTTGCATTGTTAATCTAGAACAG